GCTTTACTTTTACTTCAAAAAAAGAGCAATGAAAATGAAATAAATGCTTTGCTTTGTTTAATCGTAAATATTCACTATTATTATCAGCAAACAATTTATATCTGGCGGCACTATCTGCTTCGGTCTTTTAACCAATAGATATAATTATTAAGATTTTTCATATTATTTTATTTCAATGAATTCTTTCCGGATCTTTTTATCTTTACATTCGAGCAGAATTTACTCAGCATTCGTTCAATACATTTCAATGTAATTGCTTTCGATAATATCTTGTCAGATTTTTTCTTGTTCGATAAAAATCCCGCGAAAAAGCCCAAGTAAAGAAATGAGGTTATGCAATCAAATATAACGTTCTAGACTCTATGCAATTAAAGAATAGTTTGGAAACTAAGTTGATCAGTAATCTGTTTACTGCTGGACAAATTAACGGCACTACTGGTTACGAAGAGGCCGCTGCCCAAGGATTAATAGCCAGAATTAACGCTCATCAAAAACTCAAAAATTTACCACCTTTGATTTTGAGTTGAGATTAAGCTTATATTGGAGTTTTATTTATATAAATGTCGATTTTCCCTTTCTGTAGCACTCATCGTCAGTACGCATTATATATCGTTGATTAACGTTTAGGGACTTAAGTCCAGTAAGATGAGTATAATGATATTTTATAATCGATACAATTAAGGACTCGCCACGTCTAATTTAGTAATTTAGGCTGGTATAAAGATTTTGTATTGTGCTGTTAAAAATTCATCTTAATACAATTATTATAATTACCCAATATGTCATACAGAATTGAACAATAGTAAAATTTAAAATTTTCGAATGTTGAGTGGCATTTGAATTATGCCATTCGCATGTCTAAATTTTTAAATCTTACCAGTGTAATTAACTTATTAATATAAAAGTATTTTATTAATTGAAATAAGCATCGTACGTAGCACTTATCGAATTATCGAATTATCATAACCTTTTTAATTTAGATGAATATGAAGATATCAAGTTATTCAAGATCATAGCATTACTGCATATAAAATTATTATGTAATTTTATTGTTTGTATCAAGTTGGGATAAGCGTAAAAGTGTGATTTATAATAAAAAATTTTATGATTTTTG